GTGTAGCTAACTTATTATTATTTTGCGGTTAAAAAGTAAAAAACCCACACAATAAATCGACGTAACGAAGCGTTTGCTAATATTCAAAACTCATTCAAAATCTAATGCAATTTCCTAACTTTCTCCCCCAAATGAAAAAATTGAAATATGAAATTTTTTAAATCATTTATAAGAAATACTTATACTGTTTAACGCCTTAGTGTGTAGCCTTAGTTACCATTGACTAAACAGTTCAGTTTGCTTTAACTAAACGCGTATGAATGGTATCGTAAAAGCAAAGCAAAGCAAAGCATAAAAGCAACTAGAAGAGCAAGGTAAACTTCATAAATAAATTTCGCCAAACTCTAGCAAAACCTTACGCTATTACTTATTGAGTTGTGTTTTACCATAAGTGGAGCGGGGAGGGGGATAAGTTTGTTAAATTGTAATTTATTTCAATTTATTTGCGGTTTCTTAGTATAAATAAACAAATTTATATAAATAATGAGAGGGATGTGCATAACTGTATCTCGTAAATAAATCAAACCTTAAAAAAGCGCACGCAAAAGAGGTTGAGGGCAGAGAGCATGGCGAAGGGAGAATATTTAATCAACTAAATACAAGTTTCCTTTTTATCAATCGATTTGTTTTTGAAATAAGTGCAAATAGTTTCAAATGATAGTTAATTTGCTTTACTTAAAGTTTATTTAAAACGATTCACATGGTGAATCCAATTTTCCAATAAGAAATTCTTGCATAAGATATGAGTTCTATTTAGACGGTCTGGTCTCTTCATCAAAAATTCTTCTCAATTGTATATTTGTGTACTGGAAAGCTTAATAACATATTCATCCCTACACTTGCAATCATTTTTATACCAGCGACGCATTTATTTTTACCTATATATATACATACGTACATATATATATATATATTATGAAATGATTGCATTTAATATAAAAATATAAATAAACAAGTTAAAACGTTATAGTCGGGCAAGATCGACCGTTACTTTAGCTAATATTTTTATTTTATATATTTTCTTGATAAGTTGCCTTATTATGCTGTAATGTAACGGAAAGCGTTCCTTTGCGGGTTTGCAATGAACCATGGTGACCATGACGCTCCATATCTAGTAAAATGAAACTTTTCCTTAAAGCATTTATTTAATATTTTTCATTGATTAATCGCCATGAAATACTAAGTTGGTCTGATTTTCTGATAAGAAATCTTAATTGCGAATCTGGTCCATATTCAGTGACGTGAATTTATTCATCAAAACGAATTACTAATGTTTTAATTAAAGACCGCTTTCATGGAAAGAACTTTGAAAAAATTCACTTTTTGCTCTAGCAGTCGGTTCTGAAACCCTTTCTTAAGCAATGTAACTCTGTCAGTCCAATTGTCCGTTCGATGTTTGCATCATATATATTTAGAGGTAGCATTCTTAAGATGTTTTGATGGAACTTGGTACATCGTTGGTGGACCATTTTCGCGATCACTTCTGATCCCTCTTGCAAAACTTGTTATATCAAAAATTTCGACCATTTTTATTAGATATATTAAATATGGGAAATTTCTGTTTTAAATTAAAGTTTTCTCAAATTATGGGGAAATACGAGACGATCCCATCAATTTTTAATAGCATTTGTCCTTGGACCAAGACATGTCAGTAAAGCAAATTTCAACAAGGTATCTCGAAATTTACGATCTATGTGTTGAAAATAAGAATACGAAGGGCAAAGGACCGAATCGATTTGGAAAATTATCGGTATCGGAATCGATCGGTATAAGAAAAATGTAATCTTTTTCAAAACATTCCGAGTGCTGCGCTATGCACTTGCCATAATCATAATCATAAATTATATGTGATTAATATCTACGATCAATGTCCAGTTGATCCTTTGTGCTTTGCATTTTGTTAGAGAGGGCGTGCACTCGGCACAGAATGTCCCTAATCCAGTCATATTCACCAAAAATGTGCAATGTTGCAATCTGTAAAATTTTAGTGCAGAAAAAGACTCCAGTAGAGGAAGAAATTCTGACGGAACAGTTTTTACGCCCAAAATACTTTACAATTTTATGGATGTCTACCATGCGAAAATTTCGGAATTATGCCCTAACGTAAATATAACTTTTTTGATGTTCTTGTTCGGTTTCAAAGCAGAAATCTCAGGTCAGCCCTGAAAAAGTAATTTTTTTGATACGCGTAGATAAGCATTGAAAAATTGAAACGATCACAAATTATAGACGCATCTGTTAAGCATGCCATCCGGCCAGTTTGGTGCTCATCACAAAATAATATACTTAGAGAATTCGTTTTTTTTTTTTTTTTATTTTGTTCAACATGAATAAAAAGATCCTAAGCAAGTACATTTGAGGTATAAGCAATCCAATCTCAATTTTTTTACTCTAATAACTGACTTTAGTTCTTAGACGAAAGTAAAAGAAGAAAGAAGAAGAGGAAAGTGATATTCGGCAAGGGGCCGAAGTTCATATACCCACCACCACTATGCTGTTCGCATTCTTCTCACCAAGCTCTTTTATTCGATACCCATATCGCTGGTATTATTAAGGAAAAGGTAATCGGGGTGTCGACCGTGCTTATCTTAGAATTAATCCATTTTTAGGCAGATAATATATCTCTATTTGAAGAGTATACGAAATAGTTTTAAATGTTTTGTCTTGTTTACCTTATGATAAATAAGCATAAAACTTTGAAAAACTTGTATCTTTGTATGGGCATGGTCGATTTTTACCATTTTTACATGTGAAGGGTAAAGTGTTTGGTAAAGTAAATGTGGAAAATTTCATCCTTCCAGCTTTTATAATTTCTGAGCAACGGGTAAAAGCTCACAAATTTTTGTTAAGAAAAACGAGGTTGGGTTCAATTTATGCTTCACTGCGACCTCCTGCTCTGACCAATTTGGACCATTTTCTATACCAACCTGTGTTGAAAAACTTCCAATGCTTCCAGCAAATTTGAAATCGTTTGCCAACAACAGTTGAAGTTGTTTGCCAACAACAGACATACAGACGGACAGACATGGTTTTATCAATTAAGAATATCACGTTGAACAATAACACATACACTTTATAAAGTCTCTTAAGCTTCCTCTTCCTCTTGAATGTTATAAGTATACTCCTTATCTTCAGTGATGGATATGGGAAAAATTTCAATCAAAGAAAAAGATAACCTAATGGATATCTAAAGTAAGTTTTAAAGTCCTTCACAATGATTTGTAAAAAGAAATCCCAGCCTCCTAATAAATTTAGCTAGAGCTAGAAGGGAAATGAAAATTTTGGGTATTAAGTTTTCTCGTCTACGCTAAGTTTTATGATCATAATAGCAATTTAAATAAGCAGACAGATGAATTTTGCAAATCATTCCCGCAATCTGCGTTGTATGGGTCTCTCTGGGTTACAAACACAATAAAAATATTAATGTATTACCGCATTGTTGATAATGGCTATCAAAAATATATTTTGTGCATACGTGTATGTAACAAATACAATTGAGGTTATTAGCGGTCTTTTGTTTCTATTCGTCTTTCTATTTTGCTTTCTTCTCATACGTATCAGATTTTCGCCGGCAAACTTTTACCGCCTCAAATTATTATGAAAATTCGTTGAAACAGAAACACATTTCGCTGACGTGTAATAAATAAAAAAATAAAAAATTAAGTAAATTGTTTTTGCGCTTGCAAATAAAAACAAATCATATTGCGTAATATTTAAAAACAATATCAATAAAAAATGTTCAAATATCGAATAATATTTCAACATACTTTACACATAGTATCATGTTGTTATAAGATATTACCTAAGGTACTTACTTTACTTACTTTGCTTTAAGCAAAAGGAGACAAACTCCATTGTGATCAATTTAAAAAAAAAAAAAAAAAAAAAAAATGATTATTGTCGCGCTAATAAGCAGACACTTTAAGTTTAGATTGCCTCTCCAAAGGTGTGAAGTTGTATTTATATTTATAAATTTGTTTATATTTAAATACAACTTCACACTCTTTGCCTCTCCTATCATTACACAAAATGAAGAATTCCCTCAATCGATACAAAGAAATTACTCCAATATAATCATATAATCCGATAATAACAATATAATGTTGACGCGGTCTACGTTAAAACACCGCCGTAGTTAAGATAACAATCTCTTCATCACCTAAAAGGTGAATATTAGGTGTTTGCAAGAATGTTGATCATTTTTTCACTTGAAAAAGGCATTTATTGAGAAAAATTTCGCGCAACGTATATTAATCAAAATTATTTTCTATAACATTATATATTCTATAGAATAACAAGGCGATCGTAGATCGAAAGAACTTATATTGGTTGGGCAGCGATTCACCCAAAGGCCCATTTTAGCATTTCTTCAATTTTTCCAGCCAAGCCATGCTATGCCGATGTGAACAAGTGCTAATTAGGTGGCGCCATGCCTGCTAAGTACTCTGGGTGCGGCAGAACTTTCCATTCGAGCTGCAACATTGCAACCGGGACAACTCTTGGAACAAAGATGGCATCGACAATTGGGATATAGGATGAAGTGGCATCACAATAACACATCTGAATGTGCTTGGTGGGCTAAGGCAGCAGATAAACAACCAAAATAATGAATTTAAAGGAAGAAGATTTTTGAGCGGTCCATGATTAGTGCCGACGTAGGCTGAATACATCTTGAAAACTGTTATTTTAGGTAGAGAAAGGTTAAAAACATCGAATTCAACCATTTCTTTATCACTTTTTTATACCTGTAAAAGTCACTGATCAAAATTTTTGCAAATACCTAATAAATAATTAGGAATTATCCGCCTGAGTGGCTGATTAGGCAAGAGTCGCGACTAGCAACTCAATGGTCTTGAGTTCAAATCTCAAGTGCGGTAGAGTTTTTAATAAAAGCCGAAAGCCTTAGATGCTAGTGCTTTAAGACTTTAGTCTTAGAATTTATTCTCTGGCTAGATTTATAATAACAATAATAATAATAATAATAATAATAATGATAATAAGGAATTATTTTGTTGATATTAAAATACTTACCTACAATAAAGTTTTTCCCGAGCGATTTTCATTTGTAACAACTTAGTGGTTCCGCCAACTATTTCCAATTTATTTCAAATGCTTACAGAACTGCCAAGTTCCCACAGGTGACAAGTAATCAATAAACTCGGTATGTTATCAACTTCTTTGCATAAAGGCGACAACTCGCTTCTGTTACCTTTTGACACTGGATCATTGCAAATACCTGTTCTCGGAAATTCTATTAAAATCAGAACCGAATGCTCTTATGCTTGTAAATGAGCGCTTGTGGAAAGGGGAATGTGAAAATTTGGTTGATTGAAAAGACGGAAAAGCTGTTTAAAATTTGGACCCTAATGCTATGGCGATTAAAGGATTTTAGGGAATGGAATTTTTATCATCTCTTCTTCGTCACTTCAGCTATCACGAAAAGAAATTGCATAAATGCATGTTGCCGCCATCAATAGCCATCTCGCTTAAAAGTCATAAAAACGTGTCCTCACTCTCGTGACAAGCTGAAATGTCAAAAAAGCTTAAACAGATTTTTCACCACGTAATCCTCAAGAATAGAAAACGAAATCTGTTAACAGATATGAAGTCGAAGCACTTTTTATCAATTCTCACTTGCATGTCGTGAAAATTGCCATAATCTCATTGCTCGGTCAAAGGAGAAGATGCACAGCCTCCACTTTATTGCATACATGTTTTACTTGTTCTAATTTATGGAAGCCTAGCAGTACATATTTTTAGATTCAATTTTTTTGAATTTCAATTTGATTTTTTTTTATTTTATAAAGCGATAACGGTAAATTCGTTTTATCTCCTGTCACGTCTATTTTTTTTTTTTTTTTTTTTTTTTTTTGTCTGACTATGTATTTCTAAGAGAAAACTTTTTCCAATTTTTGTCTTTTCTTCTTACAGACTTTCACTTATCTAAACCGAATCCCATCTCTTCTCAAATAGTAAGGGCAAAAATTTTGATTTAATTTAAAACGGAGAACATTTTCGAGAAAAAGAAAAATTGAAAATTTAAAATTTTTTAAACTAAGCTCTATAAGCGAAATTTCGCAAACAATAAGAATCATATTAACTCATTGCAAAAAGCTGCATACGATAATTAAGATATGTCCACTGGGTCAACCACATCGTACGATAGGAGTCCGCAGCAGCAACCGTATAATAAAGGGAATTGCCCTCGGATACCCTATCATAAGCAAGCGTACGGTGCAAGGGATTTGGACATAACAAAGGAGGAATTTCAGCGTATTTCTGATGCGTTGAAAAATGAAGAATTCCGTAAGCTATTTATGGAATATATCGATGAGATACAAGATCCAGAAAATCGTAAACTTTACGAAGAAGAAATCAAACAAATCGAAGCGGAACGTGGCGTTGACGTTGTCTTCGTTAATCCGGAACCGGGATTTGTAATTAAAACTTCGCAAGATGGCGACCAAAAATGTTTTATCAATTGCGCTAAAAGCCCAGAAGTAGGAAAGCCATCAAATGAGGTATGCATCGATCCAGTCACGGGTACGCGCGGTTTGAGTTGGTCTATACCAATGGCACAAGCACCGCCTAGAGATGATTTAGATAATAAACGTAAGCATTGTCGTGTCTATGATGTTGTCTTTCATCCGGATGCCTTGTATTTGTCCGAGCGTAATAAGGCATTCCGTAAATGTCTGGTCGATACCGCCTTAGATGCCGTGGAACGAGAGTTTAAGGTAAGGAAAACAATTCTGTAATGGCAAACACATACCACTATAAAGATATTTTCGTTTCTTTCTTCCTTCACTAAAGGTTACCCTAGATCGCGTTAACTTAAAATTTCCTAAATTGCAATTTAAGGGAATTGCACGCCCAACTGTGATACGTAAATTGGCGAAAAATCCACCAGCTGAGACCGATGAACCGCATCCGCTTGAAAGTATTTACCCCGCCAAGCCGACAGCAGATTCTGGCAACCCGACAGTACTGCCCATGAAGAATATGTCTACAAAGGTGAAAAAATCCGAACATAACATACCTAAGTACAGCATAAAGCATCGCCGCGACGTAGACTTGGCTGAATATACTAACGAATTGGATGCCAAGCTCAATGTTGCGATTCCACGTGAATTAGTAGTAGAAATAGAATTGCCTTTGTTAAATTCCAGCGCAGAATGTCAATTAGATGTCACGGAGAAATCTATATTCTTGCTTAGTGATCGTGCGGGAGCTAAATATCGTTTAGACCTACAACTTCCGTATGCTGTACATGATAAAGAGGGTAATGCACGTTTCGATATTGACACGAGACGTTTAATAATTACGCTACCGGTGGTTCATAAAAGCACCGAACAGCAACGAGAAATGCACGCGAATTTATTGAATTTATGCCGTGAAGATAGCGGAGTGGAAAGTGATGTGCGTGAAGATGTGTCTACAACCTCAGGGAGATCTCCGGTTGAAGAAATTAGTGATACTTACAATATCGAACACTCGGGGAATTCTTCATCTCAGGAAGATTCCGGAGAGGACCAAAAGAGCGCAGAAACAGAAAGAGAATGTAAGATGTTATCTAAAACTTTGCTTTCGACTTCTATAACAGACGCAAGTTTTCTTTCTACAGCGGCAGCCTCTCCTGGCAACTCTTCACAATCTTTCTTAAAGCCCAACATAGAGTATCAATTACCTACGAAATTTGATTGCAATGTCTTGGACAGTATGATGTGCTGGGTTTTACACGTACGTAATGTGCAACCGGAATCTTTGCTTTTAAGCCAAAGTTCCCGTCATTTGCACTTGCAATTTGCATCAATTGGCTCCGGTTATTATCCCTCTTACTACGCATTTTATATACAACTGCCCGATGAATATAGTGAAGCTAAAATCCTTAAGATCGACGCTGAAGCTTGGGAAAATAATGTTGTGCTCAATTTGCATTTGAATGTTAGCGCTGAAGATATCCTTACCTATTTCGCCGGCCTTGAAGGTGGCACTGTGAAAGAGTATAAGGTTCAGGAAAAATTGCAAGTGGCACATAAATCGCGACAGCGTACAAAGCCTGCTTGTTCTTCAGCTCCTTTGGACGTATCTATAGAACGTTCCGATTGTGGTGAGAAATTGGAAATTGAAATTAAGGCTTCTCCCAATTTATTAACAACCGAAGAGGAGGAGGATGCAACCTATATCAACGATGGAGAGGATGATGCTGGAAATCATCAAAAAAAAATCAATAAAAAACAAAAACGCAAGAATAAAAAACGTCGCTCACTTTCCGAATCCGTTTGTGACGACATCAAAGCTTATCAACAGCACCAGGAGGCTTTACGACCAACACCACCAGTGCCAGAGGTTAATGAAACCGCGGCTGTGGATGGTGATGACGATGAAGATTCTTCACCCGAACGTTTAGAGAAATCGTCAATAACGAAACCAAATATGAACTCTTCCGCATCCGTTGACGTTCCGAACTCTTCCAACTATACGAATAGTACTCTAACTAATCAGCAAAGAAAGCAACGAAGTTTTTCTGAATCCAGGGACAGTGCTATCAGCTGCAGTAGTGGTAGTACATCGTGCAAAGGAATTTTGAAACACTATAGTCGCTATGAACCGAGACCTTCAATATCGGATTCATGTTCTTCGATTGAAGAGTATTCCTCAACGTATTCCACTTCAGTTGATGGTGTACCTCACGGCTTGGATAGCCTACGTTTCTCGCAATCTTTCAGTGACATACCCGAAGAGAATGTTTCTGATAATTGTAAAAAAACTGTGCGATTCAGTGAAGTAATTAAGAAGCAGGTTTTCAGGTGAGTTGAGAATTTTTACAGCAGTATTGAATACCAGCTTATTCGTATATCTGTTTATGGCAGAATGGACTCCAGTATCTTGGGTCAACGTAAAAAAAATCAAAAACGTCGCGATCGCAAATTAAAAGCATTGCAAAGACGTCTTAGCGAAGGAGATTCAGCTGACTATGAGGATAATAAGGTGAGTACGATTTCTTTAAATCTCTTATCTGATCCGGTTCGGCAGAAAGTGAAGTTTGGAAATAGAATGAAAAATTGGATATAATATTTAACCAGATTATTTAAATATTTAAGCCGCACGCATGCGTTCCTTAAGTTTGTAGAAGAAGTCTATCTCTCTGCCATAACTGATATTAAACAAAAGTCTATGAAATATTAACTAGAAATAATTTATAAAATGGAAGAGAAAGTGATAAGGAACTATATACTGGTACTTTCAAGCAAAAAGAAGATAATTACGTTCGCCTTAAATCCGAGCTTCAATTTCCGTCACTCTACAGCCAAAACAATAGAATTAAAAATCTTTAATTAAATAACGGCACTGGCTGTCAGTTTTGTGTTGACCCTAGTTTGCTTTAGCAACTATTTGTTGGAGCTTCTAGATCAATATTTGTTGTAGACTTGCTTAGGTGCTTATGTAAATGAGTAATGCCGCTCTTCTTTCAGTCATGTCTTCGAGACTCTTTTCAAACATTTTTCAAATCTTGTTCGAATGGCATTTTTATATCTGCCACTGTGATATGGGGCTATACTCGGTTTGTTTTTGAATTTGGAGAGTGAAATGCGGAACGGAGGAGCAGATATGCGAGATTCGGGCCTCGCCGAATATAACTTTCTTACTTGTTTTTGTATAGTAAGGGCGTGTTTGCAAGAAGATTGACGCATTTTTGCTTTACACGATCTTTTTAAATATTTGCTGAAATTTGCCGTACGGTTATTAGTACAGTTTTCCGTCCATCCGCGTGGGTATATTAGTCGTACACTAAAAATAATTTTTGTAATCTTTTCACGCGCTTTCTGGACGAACTGACGGATAGATTTAAGTCGATTTCTTTTAAAATTCTGACGTTGAACAAGAAAGTATATAAACTTACTTTACCGATACGTATTTCTGTCTGCTACAAAAGCAAGAACATATCCCTTGCAGCAATGTAAAAATTGATTATACCTAACCTCACAAAGAGATACTTTTTAATGTAAACTGAACAATGTTTGGCTTGCATGGGTAAAATTTTAATGAAAAATTGCTTCCAATCACAATTTACAATGTCGTACCTAAAGTCCTTCACAAACCTCGAAATTAAGCAACATAAAATAAAAATAGACGGATGTATATATGCAACTGTAAAATATTTCTCTTCCGTATAACTAATTAAAACCTTACATATTTTTTGCTTTTTTTTTTGTTTTGTTTTCTTTTATAAATATTAGCCCACAAGCCCCAAATATGTATAAACATTGACGTTTGCACATATATGCTTAGGGTATGAATTCTACTACTAGAATTTCATGTATACGATATGTTTTTGTTTGTACGTTTTGTTTATATAGTAGTAGGTTTTGTAAACACAAAAGTGTCTTTGTTTTTTTCATGGTTCGGTAAATATGTTTTTCGAAAGATAGAGAGAATTATTTAATCGTTTACATGAAGAACGTTGTTCAATATGCTTTATATTAATGTAGGTTATGGTCGTTAATATAATATTTATGAATGCTTCTTATTTACAGATGTTGACCACATTACAAACGGTATCCAATGGCCAATATTTCGAGAATAAAACTCATTTCAACGTTAATAATAATAATAATAATAATAACAACAATAATGGAAATAAGAGTAAATATAATAACGATAGCGCTGATGATGGTTGCGGTGGCGGCGATAATAATGTAAATGCAGTCGACAACAACGATAGCAACGATAAGAAGATACGTTCAAGATTAGATTCCGAATCATCGTCCGATATCGATGCTAACTGCAAAAATTCATTGATGTTTGATATGGATTTGTAAAAAAAAAAAAAAAAAAATACCAATACTTTCTATCCATTTTAGAGCCCACCAATGTTGATAAACCTAACGTAACGAAAAGCCAGTCTTAAGACTTTTTAACCTACGCCCCGCAACAATCCACAACAATCCAAAACAATCCACAAATATAATACATACATACATACATATATGATGATTAATTCTAGTAACGAAACGTTTGAACGCCTTGAACACTACTTATTACAAACATCCGCTGACAATCACATTCGTAACGTAATGTCAGGAAATTCCTTAGTATGGTTTTCAATTTGAAAACAAAATTCTTTTCAATGTTTTTAGTCTTGAAAATTATTTAAATTGTCTTTTACATAGATCTCTTATTATTTATTTCTTTCCTTTCCTCCCCCGCTTTATAACCCGAAATATACTACTGATATATAAAACTGGTAGAGTTTATATTATTATCAAGCATGCATTCTTCTTCTTATATTCTGTGTCTATTCTATGCGAAACAACATTTTGTAATAATATAACTTTTATTCCAATTTTATATATATCTCAATTGCGATTTACGAATTGATTCCATTGCGAATGTATTTGATATTTGTAATTTTCATATTGAATTAATGCTACGACATCCACCACTGAAAGCAAAAACAAAAAAAAATTTATATTAGACCCGGAAACAATGATATGCATGATATATGATATATAGATATATACATATTTGTTAAAGAAGTATTTCGTTTGGACCCTTAATATTTTTCTTTAAATTTGGGATTTCTTTCAAGTCCCAAAAATTATTGTGATACATTTGCTGCCCCCTCGTTCTGATCTGAAAGATCAATTCGAAAACGATTTGACACTCGAAAACACTCGTAAAAACTTGAAAAACACGCTCGTAAATCAACAAAAACCAAAACTACCTCGAAAAAATTAAAAAAAAAAAAAAAAAAAAAAAAAAAAAAAAAAAAAAAAAAAAAAAACACAAACTTAGAACTTGGAACTGTTGATAAGTAACATGAGACGGGCACTTAACTTAAAATTGAAAAGCAAACGGAAAAAAAAGGACTTCGCGTATGTCTCGTTCCCCGATCCTATTTGCACCATTCTTAGTTAGTGGTTAGTGGTGGGTGTCGGCAAATCACCTTAAAACAAATATCCGTTATTTGCATATGTATACCATATAATTTGAATTATCGTGGATTATTTTTATAGAATTACAATATACACACACATGCATGCATATTATATGAAATTGCGTTATATACACAAACGATAATCATTATTATAGAAATAAATTTTATAAAAATTTAAATCATTGCTGCTTTTACATTATTATTCATTATTATTGAGAAGCTCGGAAATTAAATTTCAAGAAAGATTAATGAATCATTTACGCGTTCTTTTTGACTTCAGCTAAAAAATGAATCTCGTCGAAAATATTGTTATGATATTCGCTTTTTCTAAGATACAGTCCGTATCACTAGATCGTCGATATTTTGGTCAAGATATAATAAGAAATACACTTCAAACTGTCTTTTATTTACAATTATATTCCTTGACAGTAGGATCATTTATTTACAATTATGTTCCCTACATGTAGGATTATTCACAATTTATTATGGTCGTACTATGTTCTTGCCCGATTAGCTCTCCCTTCCACAAACATTCTATTTATATACATTTTTACAAGCAGGTTACTATACCCAAACTCACAGTTTTTACATTTAATCTCTGTCTGCTTTCCTCGCTAAACGTTTTCATCGTCCTGCAGCTGCATGATGCGCCTGCGAAATTTCTCTAAATTTACGGAAATATGATTACGCTGGCTATATTATTATTATTGGAATATGATAAATATTAAGCTGTGAGAAAAGTTGCACGTGAAATACTGCAGACGGATAATTTCGAAAAGTTCTTTTAGGTGGATATGATCTTTGAAAAGGTGTTTTACAAATATGAGGGAACCACGCGGGACAGGCGACGTATATTTTGTTTGGCAAAAAGGAGAGACCGGTTCTTTACTAGCCACTACCGGTTCTGATGGGACAACAGCTTTATATATATATATTTTTTTTTTCGCAATGATTCACTTGGTACAACTTCTTTGTGCATTTGTAAAATAACTTTGGATTTTCGCTAAAAGCCGTTAGCCCGGTTTTTTCACTTACATGGTTTAAAAAAAAAAGTACCATTGTTGAAAATGGAGAGAGCTCAGATTTGCTCTCAATAAATTGCAACTCTTGGATTCTGGGAAGTTTGAGAGAACGAGGTCATTATTCGGTTAAAGCGGTAGAAATTAATGTGAACAGGTGATTATCAACTGGTTTCTATTGGACATTAAGTCGGATTGCTTTACATCGGGCCTCGTCAAACCCAATGGCGCAAGATTAATTAAAAATTTCAAAATGCAATTTAAGTCTTCAAAAATTTTGTACCCTTATAAAATAATTTATTACTCTCTTAAGATCTTAAGATGGGAAATAATTATGAGTTGTTTAGAGATACATAAGACTTGTGCTTCGAATTTCCTCAAGGTATTTTACAGAGGCGCTATACAATATTGGACCGGAACGTTGTAAACGTAGACAGGACTTTGGGAGAGTACAGTATCTCTAATAGAATGTAACAGTAACTGCCGTATGGTGCCTTATAGATATTAGCGAAATTGTATGAGTAGAATTTAAGAAAATGAATATTCCTGCAATTTTCATGACCGCCATGAACGCTTGCGTAATTTACGTTTGCTTTCGTTCATGCTCAATAACCACATCGCTTTTTGTGAAGTATTCTACTGCGTTTTCAGTCTTCTCTTCAAGAGATATTTTGAATACCTCATCATTCGGAGATAAGTCTGCTTTAAAATTCGATACTTTTTTAATCACATCAACGACTGACTTTTTCTTAGGAATATTATAAAATTCATTCATTAAAGGAGTGGATATGTTTGATTCATTAAAATCTGTTGAGAATGAAAGACAATATAACGGTCATCAAACTCTTTGGACCACCTCTTTATAAAACTAAGCGCGGACCTAGCTTTGCTTAACGCGAGCTCAATATGCAAGTTAAAATGTAACCTATGGTCAAATAGAACGCGTAAATCTGTGAACGAATCGACGTCCTCCAACTTGTGCGAATCAATGAAATACTGACTAATGAATGACTTCCTTCTTGAGAAAGAAAGCTTCTTACATTTATTTAGATTTAGTTTCAGAAGATTCAAAGAGCGCCATGCAACCAAATTATTCAAGTCACTTTAAAGCTGATGTGATTGCGGTTCTACGGAAAAGGAAGAAAACAGTTTGACATAAACAGCATGCATTAAGATCATGCTGGATTTAATCACCGAGGGTAAATCATTAATGTATAGATTAGATGAGTCCTATGCGGTTGCGGCTTGATGTACGCCAGTTGTCACGGGCAATTCATCCGAGGTAATGAAGTTAAGCAAAACCCTGAATGATCTATTGTGCAGATAAGAGCTTAACCATTTCACTAAATAGAAAGGGAATCCAGAGGCTTGGATAAACGAATAGACGCGTGTATGTAATGTATAGATTTGTACGCATTTATAAATTTATACAAAATTATTTATATTTTTTTTGGGTGTGATCCTTGTGCCAACAGTCGCCAATATGAAGACCAGATTTCTTATTATCGCAAGTATCGCAATAATTACGTGTTTCTCGTCTTCCTCCCGGCGATTTTCTATCGGAGCAAACAGTGTACCTGTAACATGAGATTATCCGTCCAACCTGCCTGCTGTTTATAACTTCGACGCCCGATATTGGATTTGCGCTGGTGTTCTTAAGTCCCATTATTTGTTCTATCAATAGTTTTCTAAATTTCAAATGCGGAACTGATTTCAAATTCATCTGTCGTCTTTGTGTGTAGGTCTATTATGTAAGAATTGACGCAGTAAATTTCCAATCCCCAGAAAAAAATATTATTCTCCACCATTTTAATGATTTTCTTAGGAAGCAATATGACACACAATATCCATAATGGTCTGCGCGCCTCAGAGCAATTCTATTTTTTATAGTAAATTTCATTTTTTTATTTCCTTGCGGTAATCCGTCTCGGTTTGGTTTTATCGCGCCCTAAGATGGCATTTCAATTTTAATAATTCAGGAATTAACCATAAACTTGTATAATACCGATCTGTGAACATATGGTATCCTTCAGCAGATATAATTTTTTCGAATAATTTTTTATATAAAAATAATGATATTTGGGTAGCTATTGGAAGTTACGGATTTGGAAGTTTTTTCATATATTCTTATACCCATCCCATTTAGTTGGTTTTATGGGATTATAAGTAACGAAACCCATTTTTCTCTTAAACTGAACTACTGCTTCATCTACCGAAATACTCTATTCTGGTATAAAATGCTGTGGAATCTTGGAACCTATGTATTCCGAAAAATGAGTAGCTCTTTGAATTCGCGTCATTAAAAATGGATACCTGGGCGGATTTCTTTTCAAGTGTAGCATCCAAAATACTTGATTGAAACGATCCCTTGTGAATGTTTCTAACGGCATTGCACCCATATTGAAAATTACCGAAGGAAAAGAAAAAAATTCTTCATTTTCTGCATAGTTTCACTCATTCAGTTTCAATCAGTACGCACGACTCCGTTTCTCTTTCTTCCAACTGATAGTGCGCCGAAGATGGTGATAAAAAACTTTACAAAACGTATACAAAGCGATATACTTTCCCTTAATTGTTGCATGCATAACTAAGAGCGAATCTAACAGATTTCCTAAAATATCACGACATACCGCCTGTATGGCGGAATTCTTTTTTTTAGAATATTTCTAATGTCGCGAATATGGCGGCAATTCGTCCGTTAAGGATTAAAGGATTAAAAAGTACTTTAGAGTTACCATGTTTCATTTTGAAATGGTAACTGGGGCATGTTGAATTCGCCGCAAGACGAACTTATCGTAAATTTCCATTAAAGCGAAACTACTAGGATTTATTCGCCTTAAGATGAATGTAAATGCGGCGTACGTTAAGCGAATTGTCCCGAAAGCGAATATAACTTTCTAAGTCGTGTTTTTTTTTATAAAATATTATCTAATATTTATGATATTTTCGCCACTTGCACCAAAAGTTTGAAACGGGGCAAAATGTGGACTTCTCAATTAGAATGAATGACTTTTTTAATTGAGACATGGAAAGAAGAGATATCACGAACGATTCCGCTAGAAAAACCCTTTGTAATCAAAAAATGAATGTCACTTGGCAGAAATTGCATTAATCGGTATCAAACATACCCATGTTTTTCAGAAAATACCGAGGGATTTATGATCAAAATGTGTTCTACAAACCGCTAACTTCCACGAATTATGATCAAAATATATTCTACATACCTTCAACTTGCATGAATTATGCTCAAAATCACACTAGCCACTACAATTCTAAAAACCATTTAAATGGCAATGCTATTCGATACGATTGAACAAATTGAGTATAAGAAGAATTTTAAAAATGGTTGAAGAATTGACTAAAGGAACATAGAGAAAATTGAAATTTGTTGTTTCTTGTTTCTCTTCATATATATACAACTTAACAGATTTAAAGAGGATTTCTGCCATTTAACAGATTTCAAGACGATTTGAATACTCAATGATTTTATGACGTGACATATAATATGATTTTTATAATACATTTAGATATAAACAATAAACTGATGGACATAAACTTGTAATCCCATAGATATTTGGTCGTATATATCTTTAGAAATTAACAGAGTTAATTTTTAATGCCAAGTGACATAAGATTAACTGCCACATATGTAATGCTCCTCTATAATATCATAACTTTCTATAAACGACGCATTTTGTAAAAGTGTTTTCGATCGAGATCTCATCAGGGAATCTCCGCAATCTTACAAAGAAATCTATTAAGATATATGCAAGAAAAATATTAGAGAGAGGATTTGTAAACAATATTTCATAACAAGACAATATAAAATTTTATTCGCTTTGTCGTATATCGTATACATTTCAAATCGTATTCCTAGAAAATTTGATATCGTAATCATATAAGCGGGCTTATCGGTTTTTCATAGTTGGGATGAAAACTATGAAAACAAAGAAACGGAAATTTAATCTTTTTCTGGAAAATTATTCAACGATTTACGACTTCAAGTGGTAGCTTCCGCAAAATTAAAATCATGTTAACATATTCCACTTTTTGTGTATAGTATTAATGTATATGTATTTGTAAAGTGAACATATATCTTTTTTATATATTGTAAGGAAGCGATTTTGCTTCCTTACGAAAAACTAGTCCGTCTGCTTAAAAGCCCTCCCGCAATCCGTAACCAGCAAGTCCGATCTGTCCGCATGTCGTCCTGTGAACAATACACAAGCAGCCCCCTCCAACTTCAAATGCAAAATCATAAATTATACTTGTAAAGTTAAAGTCATAAAAACACACACCTATTCTTGTAAAATTAAAATCTCAAAACACACACTAAATATGCTCATACTTGTATAAAGAGAAAATGTATAGACACATATTGCACAGGCCTATGCTAATTAATCCATAAGAACACACACTCCACACCAAACGAATGGTAAAGAGAATGAAGAAAACTTGCATGAAATGGCTCGTAGGCATAGAACATGTAAAATCATACAACACAAACGAACTTAGGCACAAAACCATAGGTGATATTTACACAACCGCCAAAGCGAAGAATAGGTATGAATAAGAGCTGTCCGACCCAACCCAAACCCAAAGCCAGAGAACTTGTGAGTCATATAACTCAAACCCAAGTCAAACACAGGTATAAAACCATATGAAATAAGTACAACATATACAGGAAGAAATCTGTATGCCTTAAAATTGTATAAGCGAACGATAGACACGTGTACATATTACGCATTACGGTATAAATCCCGTTAGGTTGTTTAAGCTTATAGAAATCCTTGTGCTTCGCAATACACAAGCACACTCGCTCATGCAAACGCACATACCTAAAGAATCACACATAGCATTTTATAGTACTGTTAGGTCATAGTAACATACAGAAATCTGTATTCCTTAAAAACTGTATAAGCGAATGATAGAAACGCTTACATATTACGCATTACTGCATAAGCCCCGTTCGGGTATATAATCAGGTAGAAACCCTTAAGCTTTACAATGAATATACGATCAGACAAAACAAATAAACGTTAGAGTCACACATAGCAATGCACACCAATACCCGTACGCGCAAAGAGCACAAACACACACACAATATTACACAAAATATACAAAGACACGATGCACATGTAGCAACATACAAAAAAAAAAGCAAACAAGCATATGCAAACACAGTGGTAGAGGAAGGCACAAGCACTCACATACCTAACGGTGATTGAATCACGCGTTTTGATACCTGAGTGCCTAGCGAGTAGACATTTGAACAAACATAGTAATAAGATAGTTGTAAGTTGGTTTTAAGTTGTGTACAAGTAGGATCATGCAAGTCGTAACTAAGGTTGCGACTACAGCCAACCTAAGCTAACCATACGCATAAGCATAGTACCTCAAAACTCATGTAAACACATAGAACATGTTGGCAATAGGACAAGCGAGTGAGACTCAGGCTATCAGCGGCGCATCGCACAGACTCGTTCAGTTTGGTGTCATAGCCGTCTAGCGCCCGCGATATTAAATGCGTAACGAAAAAGAAGTGTAAGTTCCAAATTTACAAGTAAAAGAAAAAAAAACAAACCGGTAATAGCACGACAAGTCGGGACACCTCGCTGGTTCCTTGCCATAGCCAAGTTCTACACAAATTGCTGTACTTCTATCCAGTAAAGAGGAAACAATAAATCTAGGAAACGATACACCATTCCCCCCGAAGGTCCGGATTATTTTTATTTCTAAATTTTCTTGCAACGAATCCTGGATTGACTGATTCATACCCCGCCCAAGGAAACTCGTTACAATATATATATATGTATATATATGTATATATAGAAACATAAATTATTTTAAGTATATACCTACATACCCAGACATAATCATATCAATTTACAATTACACTTGCTGGCTACAAGAGGGAGAATTTAATATTTTGTTTGCGTTCAATATCTTACACTA